GACAAGGAACCGACAGTACCGGTACCAGTGCAGTACAACAAGTGGGTTCGCGAGCCCTTTTGAGCGCGGCTAAATCGTCTCCGCGCTTGTCAGACCCTCGTCACGGTCAGCAGGGAAGAGTTCTCGACCATTCCAGCGTGGCAGCACCCTCCTGAGAAGACGCCACCAGACGTGTCGAGAGTCCGAGGGTCTCCTGGACAAAACGAGAACATCATTATTATTATGACAGTGTCATCCCTCCCTCCGCCACCTCGGTCCCTCCCTCTCGCCATCTCTCCATCCCTCTCTACTGCCCCCCCACCCACTCCACCCCCCCTCCCCTCCCCACTCGTGCGCGCAGAGGTAAATGTGTCGCACAATCGCGTTCATAAATCGGACGGCGCGCAATTCCACTCGGCTCTCTCTCTCCCCCCCAACCCTTGCCGGGGAAACATCATCATCATCACCATCGCCATCATCGTCATAGCGGCGATAGACACCGCGCGCGGGGGGGGCGAGGGGGGGGATGAGGGCGCTGATTTACGCGGACACAGCGCCAAGGTCGCTTGAACCGCCCCACACTCCGCCCCCTCCCCCTTCCCCCCGTGCCACTCTGCCAGACACGGCGAGATGGCCCGGCAGTGCGGGGCGCTCGCTGGTGGGCAATGGTCAAATATGGGTGGGGGGCAGGGCGGTCCGTAGGGGGGTGTGGGGGCCCGGGGCGGCCGCCTCGAGTCGCCGTACCCTAGGGATGGCTTTGATGGTGAGATTCGGCGATGGTGCCTGTCGGTAATGGTGCGATCTCATGGCACCTGAGGTCTGTCCCGTGACCTGCCAGCAGCGAGCCTTCAAGACGCTTCACGCGGCCTCAAAGTGCACCTAGCCTGGCACAAACGCCGTGGTGACGTCACCGATACTCAGTGGCGAGTGGCGGTAGTTGTTGGTGGTGGCGGCGTGTCGGTATGTGTTTTTTGTGATTCATAATTTCTTTTTTGGGGGGGGGGGCTCGTAAAATGTTTGCGCCGTATCCCCCTCCTCCACCCAACAGCGCCACTAACAAAGTGGCCACGTGATCTCAACGTCGCCCAAATGCATGACAGCCTAAGCAGCACGAGCCCCGCTAGCGCTGTCTACGACGTTTGTTGAAATTCTTTCGCACCGCACCTAGCCGACCCTGCTCATCGGAGGCACTGCTGCTGAAAAGAGCGATCCACACACTGCAACATCGAACAATGGGGTTATAGTCCGACGTTTCGCCGGCAGTCACCACGAGCAGCAGCAGCAGGCAGTTATCTTTGCATTTGTCTGTGTAGTCGTCGTCGTTGTTGTGTGTTGTTGTGTGTTGTTGATGTTGTTGCAGACACAGTGAGCTAAGCGCTGGGGGTGGGGGGAGCTGGGTGGCAGTGCCCGGGGTCACCCACGCTGCCGCTAATCTCAAATGGTATCAGAGGTGCCGCGTAATTAGTTGTCAGCGCAGTGGAGCGCGGAGTGGGCTCGGCGGTGACTCTCTCCTGCCTCGTCCTCGGCGAGGCGCCGCGACTCCTAAACAGCCACCGCCGCTGCCAGGGGGCTGCGCGTGCTGCGCGTCTTTGTCAAAGACAAAGATTCACCCACCCAGCCCACCCAGCCCCGAGCTTTAACAGACCGTTGGGGCAAGTGCTGTGAGCGGGTAGCACCCTATGAAGGGCGGCACGGCACACGAGGGGGTGGGTGGCCAACACCACGCCCGGCCGCCTTTGTCTCACGAGAGCCGATGTTTTTACACACCGCGCCAGGTACTCAGTTGAGGCTGAGTCGAGCTAGGGGAGCGGTAGTGTAGCGCTTAGCGCGCTGCGCTGTGAACCCGGCGACCCGAGTTCGATTCCCACTCACGGACAACACCAGTGACGATTATCTGAACCGGTCCAGGTTCCTCTCCAAGGTCCACTCAGCCTCAAATACCTGGTGCGGTGTGTAAACATCAGCACGGGCCACTCACCCACTCGTGCGCCATGCCGACCTTCAAAGGTGCTCCTCGTTAACAGCATTTTCTCCAACAGCCTCTTACAGGCTACACGGGGGATCTTTGTCTTTGTGTGAGTGCACCGTGCTATCCTTCATAGGTGCTTGCTATTCACGAACAGCACTTGCCCCAACAGTCTCTTACAGGCTACACGGGGGATCTTTGTCTTTGTGTGAGTGCACCGTGCTATCCTTCATAGGTGCTTGCTATTCGCGAACAGCACTTGCCCCAACAGTCTCTTACAGGCTACACGGGGGATCTTTGTCTTTGTGTGAGTGCACCGTGCTATCCTTCATAGGTGCTTGCTATTCACGAACAGCACTTGCCCCAACAGCCTCTTACAGGCTACACGGGGGATCTTTGTCTTTGTGTGAGTGCACCGTGCTATCCTTCATAGGTGCTTGCTATTCGCGAACAGCACTTGCCCCAACAGTCTCTTACAGGCTACACGGGGGATCTTTGTCGTTGTGTGAGTGCACCGTGCTATCCTTCATAGGTGCTTGCTATTCGCGAACAGCACTTGCCCCAACAGTCTCTTACAGGCTACACGGGGGATCTTTGTCTTTGTGTGAGTGCACCGTGCTATCCTTCATAGGTGCTTGCTATTCGCGAACAGCACTTGCCCCAACAGTCTCTTACAGGCTACACGGGGGATCTTTGTCTTTGTGTGAGTGCACCGTGCTATCCTTCATAGGTGCTTGCTATTCACGAACAGCACTTGCCCCAACAGCCTCTTACAGGCTACACGGGGGATCTTTGTCTTTGTGTGAGTGCACCGTGCTATCCTTCATAGGTGCTTGCTATTCGCGAACAGCACTTGCCCCAACAGTCTCTTACAGGCTACACGGGGGATCTTTGTCGTTGTGTGAGTGCACCGTGCTATCCTTCATAGGTGCTTGCTATTCACGAACAGCACTTGCCCCAACAGTCTCTTACAGGCTACACGGGGGATCTTTGTCTTTGTGTGAGTGCACCGTGCTATCCTTCATAGGTGCTTGCTATTCACGAACAGCACTTGCCCCAACAGTCTCTTACAGGCTACACGGGGGATCTTTGTCTTTGTGTGAGTGCACCGTGCTATCCTTCATAGGTGCTTGCTATTCACGAACAGCACTTGCCCCAACAGTCTCTTACAGGCTACACGGGGGATCTTTGTCTTCGCACTCATTCTATAATTTACCGGATCGCGAATTACAGTTGCGCTTGGCCGCCTCAATGGCTCTCAAGCGAATCCCCCCCCCGCTCCACCCCCGTATCTAGATAAGTGTAACACACCCCCAACACCCCCCCCAGTCTAGAAGGTCCTGCAGGAGCGAGATAGTGCGCGCGCGGTAATGGGAGCTGCGTCACCGCCACAATCATATCGGGGCTACTACATAAACCACTGCCCTCCCCTCCCCTCTTCCACCTCGTCTAGAAGCCTACGGGTCTCTGTGTAAGTCTATGGGTCTCTATGGAAGTCGTTTGGTCTTTGTATAAGGAGGTCTTTGGATATCTACGTGAGCCTCGGGGTCTATTTTCTATATGTCGATGGGCGTCTCTGATGGTCTGTGGGTCTCTATGTGAGTCTATGGGTTCATATGTGTGTCTATGGGTCTCTATGTAAGTTTATGGGGTCTCGATGTAAGTCTACGGGTCTCTATGTAAGGCTGTGAATGTAAGCGGTGTAGCGTGGTGTGCGGTGGGGTAGTGTGGTTAGCGCGGGTGGTTACGTACGGTGTGAAAGAGGTTCAATATCCATACATGCGTGGTGGAGTGTAGTGTGGTGTAGCGTGGTGTAGCGTGGTGTGGGGTGGTGTAGTGTGGTGTGGGCTGGTGTAATGTGGCGTGGTGTGGTAAGAATGTTAGTGGTGTAGTGTATTCATTATTAATATTGTATAATAATAAGTAAGTCGCCGGGTCTCTATTATGATTATAACAACATAATTATAACAACATTATAATTATAACAACATCATGAGTATTGTTATTGCCGTGCTCGTCACCATGAACCCCGAGTCTCAGCCCCCGCTCCAGGGAGGGTCCTGCCACGGCAGCCTCGTCCCGGCCACCAAAGCTCCCCCGGGTAGCCTTCACAGGCTGTTGGGGCAAGTGCTTTAGCGAGCAGCACCTATGAAGGCCGTCACGGCACACGAGGGGGTGGGTGGCCAGCACCACGCCCGACTGCCTTTGTCTCCCCAGTTGGCGATGTTTACCACACACCGCACCAGGTACTCATTTGAGGCTGAGTCGACCTAGAGGAGGCCCAGGAACGGTTCAGACAATCGTCACTGGGTGTTGGTGGCTGCGAGCGGGAATCGAACTCGGGCTCGAGGGGTTCGTATCGCAGCGCGCTGACCGCTGCGCGACCGCACAGATCGATGCAATAATCCAGTGTGAGGCTCCTGGCTGGGTACACCTCGCAGCCCAACTCCCCCCCCCCGCCCCCCCTAGTCGTGGTGCTCTGAGCGCTCATGAGCACCGCAGGGGAGTCAGCAACGGGGGTCTCCTCACCCGGGGTGGGGGCAGAGGGGGTCGCGGGGGGGAGGGGGGAGACGGAGCGAGCCCGGGGGGTCCCCAATCCGCCCCGCGCCACGCGCCCCTCTCCTCCTCGTGCTCCCCCTGCGTCCATCTCTCCCGTCACTCTCTCCACCTCCCTCTCTCTCATTCTCCCTTCTCCCGCCCGCGTCTCCCTCCCTCCCTCCCTCTCGCCCGCACGCCACCCGCAGCTCCCTCCCCCCTCCCCTCCCCCCAAGCGTCGACGTCAAAAAGCGAGTGAGCTGGGTGGGGGGAGGCGAGGGAGGGGAGAGGGGGGTGGGTGCAGTGGGAAGAGGAGGAGGGGGGGGCGTCGGGAGGAGGAGGGAGCGGCGGAGGGGAGGGAGGGGAGGGGTGGAGGGTGGGGAGGGAGGGGAGGGGTGGAGGGTGGGGAGGGAGGGGTGGAGGGTGGGGAGGGAGGGGTGGAGGGTGGGGATCAAACAGAAACTCGCTCCGCCACGCGCTCCGCACACGCGGCCAGACTCTCACGCCAGCGCGCACTCGCCACTACTCACCACGACTCACCACTACTCACCACTACTCACCACGATTCACCACGACTCTCCACGACTCTCCACTCACCACTACTAACCACCCTCTACTACTCACCACTCTTCACGCTCAGCGCTCCTCACCACTCTTCACGCTCACCCACCGTTCACACTCAAAACTCACCGCTTACACTCCTCAACGGCGGCTCTGGCAGATGTAGAGGGGTGGTCGTGGGCTCGCTCGCTCGAGAGGCAGAGCGAGCGATAAGAGAGAGTGCAGTAGGAGAGATAGAGCGCGCGCAGAGAGAGAGAGGGGAGTACAAGAGGCACCTCGAGTAAGAACCGGTGTGGACGGAGGAGAGGCGACACGGGGCGAGACGCCGATCTCGGGGCCGGGACGCGCCACTCGGGGCCGCGCCGCGCCGCCGCCGCCGCCGCGATGGAGCGCGGCGTGGCCGAGGTGCTGATGATGAGCGAGCGGAAGAGCGCCGCGTTCGGACCGCGGGCCCTGCAGCAGCTCCAGACGGGGCCCGCGGGGCCGCGAGAAGCCGCCGGGGGTGGCGGCGTCGTGGGCCACTTCCGAGGCCTCGGAGAAGCGACTGCAGCCGTGGCAGCGGCCGCGGTGTGGAACTCTTCGGGTCGACTTCACGGCTACCACCGCGACTCAGGCTCGGCGCTGCACCACCACGGCCACCACCACCACCACCACCCTCACCACCACAACCTCCTCCTCCAGGGCGGCGGCGGCGTCGGCGGTGGAGGAGGAGGAGGGGGAGGGCCCTCGGCGCACGAAAGCAGCGGGGAGGGCACCGCGGACGATGACAGCGACCGCTCGGAGAGCGCCGAGGCTGGGAGCGGCGGGGGAGACCCGGGGCTCGGAGCTCCGGGCTCGAGCCTCGTGGGGGTGACGGTGGCCGGCGCGGCCCCGGGGGCTCTGGCGGCAGCCGCGGCCGCCGCGTGCAAAGTCCGCGGCGCCCTGAGCCGCAAGAACAAGGAGCAGAGGGCGCTGCGCTTGAGCATCAACGCGCGCGAAAGGAGGCGCATGCACGACCTGAACGACGCGCTGGACGACCTGCGGGCCGTGATCCCGTACGCGCACAGCCCCTCGGTGCGCAAACTCTCCAAGATCGCCACGCTGCTGCTGGCCAAGAACTACATCCTCATGCAGGCGCAGGCGCTCGAGGAGATGCGTCGCCTCGTCCTCTACCTCAACCAGGGCCAGCCCGTGCCGGCCTCGGCAGTGGCGCTGCAGCCGGCGACTCTCGCCACGGGCCTGGGACCCGCGCTCGTTCCGCCGTCGCTCGGCGCGTACGACCAGGCGGCCTTCGGCTTCCAGGCGTCGGCCGCGGCGGCGGTGGCAGCCGCGGCCGCTGTGGCAGCGACCACGGGGGGAGGGGGAGGAGGACGCGATAAGTGCGGCTGCTCGGGGTTTCACGGCAGCGGCTGCAAACACTGCGACGACAGTTCGTGAGGTGTCGCGGGGAGGAGGAGGAGGTGGTGGTGGCCACCGCCGCCACCGCCACGTGGTGTATTGATTGATTGGTGGAACTTGGAATGAGCGTGGGACTCGGCACTGAACTGTGGAGTTGTAGAGACAAAGAGGCTGGCGGTGGTGGTGGCGGTGAGACCGCAGAGAGAGAGGGGGAGGGAGCTGTGGTGAGCCTTCGACACTTTACCCTGATGGCCTCAACGTGCACGTAGCCTGGCACAACGCGCTGTGGTGACGTCTCCGCCACTTTGTGGCGAATGACGGCGGCTGTTTGTTGTCATTGTTGTTGTTGTTGCTGAGTGTGTGTGCCTGGTGAGATGTGTTGTGGTGAGGATGGTGGTGAGGATGGTGGGTTATTACACTGGGGGGTGAGGATACGGCGATGATGAGCCGTGGTGCGTGGTGGTGTCAGTGGTGAACCCCTGTCGCTGGAGTCGAGGATGATGGGGTGAGGGGTTGTGAGTAGAGACGGTGGGGTTGGTGATGATTGTGTCTGTGTGCCGGGGAAGGACAACAAACTAAACACACAAAGAAGCATTTCTGAAAAAATTGATTGATGATGATGATGGAATGATGCCGAGTTGAGTGTCGAGTGACGGGGTGTGGTGAGTTAGCGATGCTGGTGAGCTGTGAGCTGTGTCTGCGGTGAGCCATGCTGGTGAGCTGTCAGCTGTGTCTGCGGTGAGCGATGGTGGTGAGCTGTCAGCTGTGTCTGTGGTAAGCCATGCTGGTGAGCTGTGTCTGCGGTGAGCCATGATGCTGGCCACGCCACGATGACGCCAAGACAACTCGGCGCCGCGAACTCCGCCTCCTCCGATGTTTGCACGGCAGTGGATGCGACGTGGGCTCGGGTCCGGGACCGCGATGATGATGATGTGATGATATTATTAACATCATGTTACCACAATAACGATGGTGGTGACGATGGTGGTGGTGCTGCTGATGTCTAAACTGCGATCTGTTTCGGCACGAGATCGAGCGGACTGCTCATGGCCTCTTGCTGCTGTGTTCCAATTTTCCACGCGTCACGCGAATAACACGCACACGTACAGACACACGTGCAGACACACAGGTACATACACACAGGTACAGACACACACGTGCAGACACACACGTGCAGACACACACGTGCAGACACACACGTGCAGACACACACGTGCAGACACACGTACAGACACACGTGCAGACACATACAGACACACACGTACAGACACAGGTACAGACACACGTACAGACACACACGTACAGGTACAGACACACGTACAGACACACACAGGTACAGACACACACGTACAAACACACACGTACAGACACACATACAGACACACACGGGTACAGACACACACGTACAGACACACACGTACAGACACACAGGTACAGACACACAGGTACAGACACACATACAGACACACACGTACAGACACGCGTATAGACACACACAGGTACAGACACACAGGTACAGACACACACGTGCTGACACACACGTGCTGACACACACGTACAGACACACACGTGCTCTACAAAGACAAAGATTCCCCCGTATAGCCTTATCAGACTGTTGGGGCAAGTAATGTTAGTGAGCAGCACCTATGAAGGCCGGCACGGCACACGAGGGGGTGGGTGGCCAACACCACGCCCGGCCGCCTTTGTCTCCGCAGTGGCGATGTTTTACACACCGCACCAGGTACTCATTCGAGGCTGAGTCGACCTAGGGGAGGCCCAGGACCGGTTCATATAATCGTCACTGGTGTTGACCGTGAGCAGGAATCGAACTCGGGTCACCGGGTTAGTAGCGCAGACAACACACACAACACACACGGACACCACACAATACACTCACAGGATACACACAGACAACACGCACACACGCACCACGTATTAATGTATTACGCTTGATTGACAGAACTTGAATAATAAAATTAAGTCTAAATTACACAAAGCCCCGTGAAGCTCTCCTGAATATCTCTCACCGTATCACCATGATCTATCCACTGCGAGATGGAGGCCTCATTTCCAGCTGATTTTGCATCTCCGCTTCACCCCCCACCCCCCATTACCCCTCCCCCTCTCCATCCTTTAGCTGCCGCTCCGTCCTTAGTCTCGACCCCTCCAGCCGTCACGTGCCCCGCGCGAGCGCGCACCCATTGCTCTGAGCGGCCAAATGGGATTTCCTCGTGAGTCGCCCCAAACCCAAACCCCGCACCGACTCATCCTCATCGCGACCCCCACGGGCGCCTAGGCGGGCAGGCCGGAGTGGGTGTGTGTCCCTAGGCGGGCAGGCCGGAGTGGGTGTGTGTCCCTAGGCGGGCAGGCCGGAGTGGGTGTGTGTCCCCTAGGCGGGCAGGCCGGAGTGGGTGTGTGTCCCTAGGCGGGCAGGCCGGAGTGGGTGTGTGTCCCCTAGGCGGGCAGGCCGGAGTGGGTGTGTGTCCCCTGCATGTGTCGTCATGTGTCGTGTCCACTTTCCTCTCCGTCTTGTCGCGCTCACGTGGCTCAAGCAGTGGCCGCGTCTTTCTGCCACCGATCTCTTTCGACGTCGTCACGAGCCGTTCTCTGTGTGAGGGTCGTCCTCTCGCTCCGTTTCCTTCACGTTTTTTTTCAGAAAAACAACACCTTTCGTGTTCCTGGTGCGCTCCATCCTACCACGTGTGTGTGTGTGCGTGTGTACCGAAATCGATTCAGGTTCGGTTAACGACGCCCTGCGACGTTGAAGCCCGTGACGTAGCAAGCTAAGCAGGTTTCGAGGCTGCCTCGTGATTGGATGAGTGAGCACCTCGCTGCGCAACACGTGGTGCAGGCTGCGGGTCTCCGTCGTTCAATCAGAATCAGATTATATGAGCAACGCAGAGGCATCAATGATTGTACTGCACGGATATGGCCCCCTACACTTTCTACGCTTGCCGACTCGTACCCACCAAACGTTGTGAAGTATGGTCAAATACCCATGGTAGTTGATCTCATTGTAGTCCACGAGTTGATCTGATGGAAGTTGATCTCATGGAAATTGATCTCATGGTAATTGATCTCATGGAAGTTGATCTCATGGTAGATCATCTCCTGGTCGTCTAAACTAAACTATGTTTACGTCGCCAGGGTAGTGTCCACTACGCTGCTGTGTAGCACTTTCTTCAGAAGGGAGCTGGCGATCACACATGATAGCTCAACCAAGTGGGGCTGATCACACATGATAGCTCAACCAAGTGGGGCTGATCACAAATGATAGCTCAACCAAGTGGGGCTGATCATCACCGTCGCGTGTACATCTGTAGCAGCAGCCAAAGTACACTAAGCGCCGTGATGTTGCTTCGAAATGTGGAAGGAAAAAACCGGAGGACTCGAGAAAAACAATCCACGACGGGGAGAGAGAGAGACACGCACACTCCAATTATACAGCAGGCGTCAGGGTCGTGATGGAACCCACGACCCTCCTGTATACCAGGCGAGGGAGTTGACATCTCCTAGCCACCGTGATGATGATGAGAGAGAGACACGCAAATTCCAATTATACAGCAGGCATCGTCAGGGTTGTGATGGAACCCACGACCTCCTGTATACCAGCGAGGTAGTTAACATCTCCTAGCCACCGTGATGATGATGAGAGAGAGACACGCAAACTCCAATTATACAGCAGGCGTCAGGGTCGGGATGGAACCCACGACTTCCTGTATACCAGGCGAGGTAGTTGACATCTCCTAGCCACCGTGATGATGATGAGAGAGAGAGAGACACGCAAATTCCAATTATACAGCAGGCATCGTCAGGGTCGTGATGGAAGCCACGACCTCCTGTATACCAGGCGAGGTAGTTAACATCACCTAGCCACCGTGATGATGATGAGAGAGAGAGACACGCAAACTCAAATTATACAGCAGGAGTCAGGGTCGTGATGGAACCCACGACCTCCTGTATACCAAGCGAGGGAGTTGACATCTCCTAGCCACCGTGATGATGATGAGAGAGAGGGACGCAAACTCCAATTATACAGCAGCAGGCATCGTCAGGGTCGTGATGGAACCCACGACCTCCTGTATACCAGGCGAGGGAGTTGACATCTCCTAGCCACCGTGATGATGAGAGAGAGATACGCACACACTCCAATTATACAGCAGGCGTCAGGGTCGTGATGGAAGCCACGACCTCCTGTATACCAGGCGAGGTAGTTGACATCTCCTAGCCACCGTGATGATGATGAGAGAGAGGGACGCAAACTCCAATTATACAGCAGCAGGCATCGTCAGGGTCGTGATGGAACCCACGACCTCCTGTATACCAGGCGAGGGAGTTGACATCTCCTAGCCACCGTGATGATGAGAGAGAGATACGCACACACTCCAATTATACAGCAGGCGTCAGGGTCGTGATGGAAGCCACGACCTCCTGCATACCAGGCGAGGTAGTTGAAATCTCCTAGCCACCGTGGCGCAGACGTGGACGGTTCCACAGTGAGACTGCCAGGCCACAGCCCACGCCGACTGAATCACACGGCCAACGCGGGAGGGGCTGACTTGGAATCCCCAATCGGCCTCCCCGCCTCTTCCACACTCGTTTCAGGCGACGCTTGTCGCATCAATCACCCTCAGATTGGCCGCTTTGAGACATTTGAAACCGCTAAAGCGATGCCAGTGGGGGTGGTGCCGACTAAGGGATATATCCAGTCACAGTGAAGCGTTTTGGGTCAGAGCGCCGTAAGTACAAATGTGTCGTGACCCTCCACCACCCGACACAGCCGGCAATGTTTGTCACGTAAATAAACAACGCGACAATGAGTTTACTACTTCAGCCCACCGGTGTGCTGGAGAGTAAATCCACAACATTCACAATGCGGGCATCGTGACGTGTCCGCTGGTAAGTAGATCAACCAGCAGCATGGCCCGATTAGACAGAATAGTGAAGCAATCCGCCTGTTTATGATCTTACATCGCGCAGCAAGACGACCTCATCACTGGGCCCATCAGGAGGCGGAGATCAGAGGTGGGGGAGGAGGGGGGGGGTTATTGTAATTATATAATAGATTAGTAATAATTAATTACTCTCCAGCACACCGGTGGGCTGGAGAGTAAACTAATTGTCGCGTCGTTTACGTGACAAACCTTGCCGGCTGTGTCGGGTGGTGGAGGGTCACGACACATTTATACTTGCGACGATCTAACCCCAAACACTTTTATGATGAATAACATTGGTGGCGAAAGCTTCCTTACGTGTTAAACTGATATACACAATGTACATACACACACAGTATGCATATACACAATGTATACATACACAGCATGTACATACACACATTATGTATATACACATGTATACATACACGGCATGTACATACACACATTATGTATATATACACAATGTATACATACACGGCATGTACATACACACATTGTGTATATACACACAATGTATACATACACCGCATGTACATACACACATTGTGTATATACACACAATGTATATATACACAGCATGTACATACACACATTGTGTATATACACAATGTATACATACACGGCATGTACATACACACATTATGTATATACACACAATGTATACATACACAGCATGTACATACACACATTATGTATATATACACAATGTATACATACACGGCATGTACATACACACATTATGCATATACACACAATGTATACATACACCGCATGTACATACACACATTATGTATATACACACAATGTATACATACACCGCATGTACATACACACATTATGTATATACACACAATGTATACATACACAGCATGTACACACACATTGTGTATATACACACAATGTATACATACACGGCATGTACATACACACATTGTGTATATACACAATGTATACATACACAGCATGTACATACACACATTGTGTATATACACACAATGTATACATACACAATGTATATATATACACATTGTGTATACACACATTATGTATACATACACAATGTATATATACATTGTGTGTGTATTGGTCACGGACGAATTGCTCCATATCCTGGGGATATACCCATCCCACCTGCATGTACACCCGTGTCTGTGTGTGTACACACCCGTGTGTGTGTGTGTACACACCCGTGTGTGTGTACACACCTGTGCCTGTGTGTATGTGTGTGTACACACCCGTGTGTGTGTGTGTACGTACACCCGTGTGTGTGTGTACGTACACACCCGTGTGTGTGTACGTACACACACACCTGTGTGTGTGTGTATGTGTACACACACGGCCGACACGTGACCCA